GCAATAAAGGCTGAGGAATCTCTGCTATTCTTGGAGGTCTGTCTGCTACAGCCCCCTGGGGTCGTCACCATTTCTACTTTCATTTCTGTTCCTCCTTGGCTCATGAGAGCAGCAGCAATGAAGGCCCCCAATGCCATTCATGGTCACATTCACATTCTCTGTCACACACCCAGATTAATGCTACTGTGTGTGTACATAAAACTACACACACACTCACATACCCCACAAAAGATAGGCACTTCAGCTGCTGTCCTTGGTGCTGAAATTCCTGCAGCCAATATCGGTGTCATGTTAACATGCCCATGTAGTCTCTCCAATCAGTCATACCCAGCTGGCGAGAAGCTTTGAAAGAATCTGAAGTTTCCCTGAGCTAGGAAGAATGAGAAAACACACTTGGTCGTCATAATATGCCATCTAATTACACTCCAGATTGAATAATATAAAAAGTGTGAATAGGGGATATGATCAGGCTTGGGGGACCGCCTGAATATTGAATCTCAAAGCATGCAGAGCTACATCTCCTTAGTTCTTCATAATTGCGTCTGGCACCACACTTCAGGCTCGTGTGCCAACGGACATGCACGAGGACCACTGAAGGATACGAGTTATGCCACAGCGGATGGAAAATTGTGTCACGGCTGCCAATTAAAATCAAAAACGGAAGTGAGGGAAGCACCTTGTTTCACCGCCATTTCTCTGCATCTCCACCGTCTCACTCATCACTGTTAATAATTGATCAAAGTTTGCAGTCTCGGCTTTGATATATCCATGGCAACAGCCTGTGTGGAGAGCGCGTGTCTGCGCGCGATCCTGTGTGTGCATGTGTGCGCACATCTCAGAAGGCTGTAAATAGTCTGATGCTGTCGCCAGAATAGCCAGAGAAACAAGCCGTTCTGCTACCACGGGGTATATTCATCCATTTAAAAGACAGGCTGGGATTAAGTGTAGAGCTTCATAAATATTTTATGATGTTGAACAAGTTGAGGACATCGCTCCATACTCCCCGCCCAAATTGTCACCTGTTTGCTAAGTCAAACGTCAGAGGTGGAACCACTCTGCTTTTTCGGATTTTCTGCCACATACGGGTGTACTGTTACACCGCTCGATGCTCACATTAAAGATGGACAAAGTTTTAAATAATGAGGTCAGTGAATGTGCAAGTAATCCCTGTGAGCCAAAAGCTCAGCCAGAGCCGATCTACAAGAGCCATTTCACTTCCTATTAATCCCATTGTACAGACTCTGGCTGCAGAATAGCCCTCAATGAACGGGAGTGCATAGAGCCAAACAGCTAAAATAATCATTTACACCTGCTCCTGGACAAAAATGTCCACATTTGAATTTAGTTTCTGCAGATCTACCATCGCTAAAGCGTCTGAACTGAAGTAAATCCACACTGTTGCAGATTTACCAGTAAAATGTTGTCGTTCTGCTTATAAACACTCGTTAGTCTGTAAAGGTTTTACAACAGGACGTCCTCTCTCAGTGCCATCTGATTCTAAATAACAACTACACATAAGAAGCACCACAACAGACATTTCCATGTGTGTATAAGGAGCAGCTGGTTGTGCTGGCGGCTGAAGGTGACTGCTGCCAGAAGTCCTTTGCTTCATGCCTGAATCAAAATGGTGGATGCTATTAAGTGGACCTGTGCTGTGACATCCTTAGTATCCAGGAAAAGCATTTAACTGTAAAGCCAATATATAAATATGGAATTATATATATATATATATGTTGTTGCATTATTATAAATCAGAAGAAAAAAGTTTACCCCGTGAAATTTACATTTTTGTTCCACATCTCCGTACAGCCCGACTCGTGCCGGACTACCTCACAATTGCCCGCTATGAGGCCGGGAGTGTAGACAGTGGGAGTTCTTGAGTATATTAGTCTCCCAGCTCACACTGCGATGTTGAATAACTGTAAGCTGGTGGTCTTTTGTCGACGTCTAGTTGTGGTTGAAAAACACTTTGAAAACAAAAGTCAGATCAAAGCTTTCTTATGAGCTAAACATACACATTGAATATGGCCTGGAGGTCTTTGTTAGACTTTGCTGCAAGAAAGAAAAGTATATTCCACAAAGGTTATTTCTCATTCTACTGAGCTAACTGGACTCCCATCACAGGGTGCATAGCACGGGCACAAGGAGCAGAGCTACAGCGTTTGTGATGTGCTACGTTTAGCACAATATAAATGAGAAAGAATGTAAATTCCTTCAAATTTCAGCCTATATTGTAAAAACAGGCCAATGCCAACAGTAGTAATTCTACTTTTTCTATGTGGAGAAGCTGTCAGATGAATGTCTGTTTTACCACTAAGTAACCACATTTTAATTTCATTCTTTCATTGTCATAATCTGATAAACACTAAACCTGTAGTTTAGCTCGAAACAACATCAACACCCGTCTGTCTTACAGTTCAGATCAGATGACCAGGGACATGACATCGGGGTTTGAGCCATGTTTGCTGGGCTGCATCTCAAACACGGGCGTAGCTTCCAGCTCCGAAAGAAGCCAGTGAAGCTCTTTTCCTCTGTTTACCTATTATTCTGGTTTTATAGGTCTGTGGGGAAACGGCTCTCGTCGTCGTAAATTTCAGTCGCACGCTGTGACAAGTTGCTAGCCTATTAAACTGCAGTGTCTCTCACTTTCTTTCTCTCAGTCTGATCCACGGCTCATTCGTCGCGTCCAAACTCTGACAGCGACCTCAAAACACTCAGATTGAGGCTTCACAAAGAACTTTGCTAACCAATAACTGAGAACCAGGAGGCTATGTCCATCTTTCCTATACGGTCTGCTATTCAGAGTTGCATTGTCTTTTCTAATCTTTGTTTGTTAAGATGTCAAAGAAAGCAGATATCCAAAATATGACAATGTCAGACAGCTTTGACAGTATTCACCCACCTTTTGTTTTGTAGGAACAGCCAATCAGAAGGAAAAGGGGAGGTAGCTGTAAGGAAAGAGGAGCGAAAATGGGGCTGCACTAAGGTGAACGAGGATCACATCGTTAATAATGTTTGTTTCTTAATTGCAAAGCTACCCTGGTAGAACGCACAAATAAAAATATGGACCTGAAGATATGCATAATAGGTCTCCCTTGATGCATTTCTTTTATTTAATCATTTAGAGATGCAATAAAAGTTTCTCATCATAATAAATTCCAGTTAAGAGTCTTTGATGCATAATTACACTCCGCAGCCTTCATCTCGAGATGCAAACAAAGAGCCATTTAAACCCTCGTCTTAATCTCACCAAGTTGTGCTTCAAATGTGCCGATCTCTTCTCAGACCAAACAAGGATGTGGAATGGGTTCTCATAACTGCATGCAAATATCATAATTAATCTCCTTCTTTATAATTGGTTTTCAGACTGTCATCCTCATTACCATTCCAGCCAGGTGAAAAACGTTTGCAATCAAAAAGTAAAAACCTCATTCTGACCACACTGTACCCAGAGTAGGAGCAATAAATTCCCCCTCCCCCCTCCCGCTAGGACTTAAAATCAAGGAATTAACCAGTATCATTCAGACAATGTTACACCAGCCTCTTTGAGCTTTTCCCTTCAAAAAGGATCTGCATCTATTTCGCGAGCCGGAGGCGCCAGCGACTCCTGAAGCACGAGGAGAGATGTTTTCCAATCCCTCTGAAATCTCTTCCTTGCTTTATTTTTATGTTTATGGCTGCTACGTCTGCAGATGCCTGCTTCACTACACTTGTAATCGGAGGACACACGCACGTATTTAATCTGTTTCGAGTGCAAAGAACGAGGTGTATGTCTAACAAAATGCTCTGTGCCATCAGCTCTGCATACATCCAGCGTATGATTTTGCACACATATTTCCACAGAGCTGAATCCTTGTTTGTTTCTGTGGTGTGCTTCAAGAGTAACTGTGTTGCCATGCCAACTCTCGCTCTCTTTCTCTCTCACATGCACACACACACACACACACACACACACACACGCTCTCTTTCCCTGCTATTCTGTTTAACAGGATTCCAATGCAGAGCCTTGTACACCAATCAGAATAAAGCTCGTAGCAAATTTCTAACCAGTCCCTGTGCAGTTAACTGTTTGGTGCCCCAGCCAACTCTCCAGGCATCTGTCCTGCAGCATGATTGATAACAACCCTCAAGAGAAGAGACAGAGGATTGCTTTTTTTAAACAAATCTGTGTCTGCACTCATCCCACTGTTGAGAAAAACACTTCCTTTCAGTGAAAAACTTCAGGATATGCAGCAGTGAGAACCCAAAGACGAGGATTATTCACTCACAGAAATAACCCGGATTGTGATTAAGGTTGATTCGGGTGGCGTGGGTGGTTAAAAAGGGCAGTATCTGAACAAGCTGGAGGGGTGATTATTGGATTTATATTGGTCGATAATGCTGACATTTTAAAATACCACCATGATGAATGATTGATGAGCAACAAGCAGGAGGTGTGTTTGCTCATTTAGCAAAATGAATGTGGCACGGAGTGCAGAGACTCTGGGGGGCTAGCTGTCAGCGGGGTGACCCATAGATAAAAACATGAAAGAACCAAAGCACTTCCTTAGAAAAAGTGACATTTTCACCTGATACCTGATTTTTTGGTCTTTGGCAAACATCAGGAAAGACGCTTCCATCACAAAGACTATGATGTTCAAAAAATATGACCCCAAAATCTACAATACTCAAAGAAAACCTCCCCTGATGAGGTGAGCTATCAGTAAAGCAGTTCCTAATGATCTTTAACTTTGGAGAAAACCAGCAATCCTAAAAAATAAAAAAAGACAGCCAGTATAATTTCATAAATCTGCAATCAAAACTGGAAATAAAAGCCAGGATTTCTTTCTCTGTTTTTAATCAGAAAAGAATTGAAAAAAACACTCACAGAACTGAGAAAATGACAAGAGCCCTCGTGATAATCTGAGAGGCAGATCATGACATCCCTCAGGGGCTGACACACACACACACACATCACTTTAAGTGCGCACCTCCTCTGACTCTCCTCCACATGCACTCACCATGCTGTCGTAGTGGATGAGCTCCAACTCGTAGTCGGGCAGGATGTCGCTCCTGTTGTTCACCAGGTCCAGGGCCATTTGAGCGGAGGGCATGCACGCCTGACCGCCCGGCCAGCCTCCGCTCATGGGGAACAGCGCTCCGATGTACAGCTTCTTCTTGCCTGCAGACGGCCGTGGCCAGAGGAGGAGAAGGATTATGAGAGATGCCCGGAGGAGCGCCGCGTGGCCTCGGACTGGGCGGTTTGCCCGCGGAGGACTCGTGCACATTACCAGCATGGTTCAAGGTGAGCTGAACCGGAGCAGCTTGACCCCGGTGCTGCAGCTGTAAGGTCGGGCTGTTCTGAACAATCCCACAGCTAAACGTACACTGAACTCAACACGTGTCCGGCCGCCCTGGAGTGTGTTTGGACTTTATGTTGCGCTTTGCAGATACTGTGGCGGACACCTATTTACTTTAAACTGCAAGTGTTTAGCAGATCGAGTAAATAATTAATCGGCGTGTGTTTGTGCATAATGCTTGATTAATTATGCATTGCATGCTGGATATTTTCGGGACAGAGTCGTTTACTTTGCAGAGCTCGCGGCGATCATGTGAGAACGCGGTCAACTTTCCATCTCCGCGCACATCGACACAATTGTCCAAACTAAACTAACGCGTGCTTCCGGCCTGCGATCGATCAAGATTATTGGACAGCGCGTCCCTTAGCTACTTACGACTTTTACGCAATCGGGACGCACGAACGAGACGCCGAGTCCGCGCGGAAGACGTCAAGCGGGTCGGACGGGTGCGTGTTTGGAGACGAAGCGGCGCAAACGGAGGGCTGCATCTACGATCCGTGGACGCAGTCGTGTCCCGACGGATGAAACGAGTTACCGCGGAAAAGCAGCCGCGCTAGCGCTCTGCGACTGAGCCACTGCAGCACCGGCTGGCTGAGTGTGAGGGAGAGAGCGAGGAGGGGAGAGAGAGCGAGCCTGCACGAGCTCTGAGAGCGAGTGAGAGAGAGAGAGAGCGAGAGAGAGAGGCTAAACCTCAAAGATTTTGACATTTGCACGGTGACTTTAACTTCAGCACTGCTTCCACTGCACACACGCGCATTCTTTGGCTTTGCATTTCTTGCATATGTGCGCCCATAATCAATATCTGATCAACGCATCGGCACAAATGGCCAAAAACAAGCTTTGGTATTTAACAGGTAGCCTACAGGAGGTCCGGGCAGGCAATATATGATCAATATAACGAGCTAACTCGTGTCAGCGTGAGCCGCTTCAGTTTTTCACACAATAAAAACAGAACAAACTTGTTGGGTTAGTTTTCAGTGAGTGGCTCTGCTGAACGTGGTCACATGTCCGCACAGTTTGATCCCACTCACAGTGGCATTCAATTATATTTCAGCCGCTTTTCTCAACTGCGCTGAGTTCTTGTAGAGTCATAAATGTCAAGGTTACATATAATTAACGTTCCAGTGTTTCCACGTCTAGATTTAATGATGCACTGAGCGAAGCCTTATTCAATAATCTGCCCGTTATTTTTTTTCCAATTAATTGATTTTTTTATTAGTCTATAAAAATGTCAATAAAAGATTCCCAGCACAGTTCTGAGAATGCCAAGGTGACACCATCTTATCAGTCCAAAGGTTTCCAGTTTACCCTCACACAATATTAAAAAAAAGAAAACTTCTAGTCACAAGCTCGATCATTTTCAGTTTTTACTTCAAAAAAGATTTTAAAATATATTTTAAAAAGAATGTTAACAGTAAATTATGTGTGGGTAAATAGTGCGGTCTCTACAATCAAAGTTTGGTTGGGTAATGTCACAATAACGTCCACCATGGATCCCGTACTTGACCCTTCAGAGTGCACAACACTAACAACAACATAAGACCAAAGCCTCACTGCAGCAGGATACAAAGCACTGGAAATATATTATTTACACATTCTAAAAGCATTACATCTTATAGGATAATATGACAACACAATAGTGTGACTTTGGTATGACATCATAGTTAGACTACTAATATATACTGTTGTTCTATAAAGTCTCTGGATATTCTGACCATAGAGCTGTTTCCACAGTGTCAGCAGCTGGTAGTGTTGCAGCTTTCTAAATCATAACCAAATGCAACGTGACTGCAGGGTTAACTGACAGATTTGTAGTTGAGTTCAAAGGGACGACAAGGACATCTACACAACACATCGCAAGTTTGTTAAAACTCATTAGAGGCCATGCTCTCTCTCTCTATTGTTCTTTTCCTGACACTGGTCATTTCCAAAGTCTGAGCTACAGCTGTAGATGTTGAATGAGATGTAGGTGAGCCATTAGAAATCATTTACAGCAATAACAAGATAGTAATAATGGTTTAAATCTGCCAGCTAAACAGTTACATTTAAAACAGGATATCTCATAATCGAGTTAAAGAATTGAATGGAGCTGCAGTTACAGCATCAGGCAGCAGAGGTGGAGCTGTTTCAGAGATTCAGCCTGGACAAGCAAATGAATTTCAGTGTGTTTATATGTGTGACTGTACAGTCGTCCAGCCTGTGACGGCGTGTGGGGATATGGTGTCGTTGCCAGAGAGACGAGATGGTTTTAGACTTAAGAATATCCTCATCAGTGGTAATTCCAGGACAATTTCAAGGATTTTCAAGGGAGATCACAATGAAAAGACAACAGAGAAAACACTTCATCTTAGATTTGTCATGATCAGAGTTGTGATTAAAAGCTTGGGTGGAAGATTTTCAGATTTCAAAATGGGTCAGGGTAGTCTTAAGTTAGAGAATAGCTGCGCTGCGCTGTCGGCTAAAACCAAGCATTTCTTCAATTAAACAACACGTTTGGGTTTATGTCCACACATCTATCCACTCTCTTCCACTTATCCTTAACAGGGTGG